TGCTTCCCTCCCTTCTTTTTTACTGCACATGTTTCTGAGTGTGCTGGGAGATAGTGAGTATACTTTGGAGATAATTTGTGCCACCTCTGAAAAGTCAATAAACCAGGAGAAAGCAAAAGCCGAAGAACACCAACATGGGAAAAGCAGAGAGTCAGGCTTTACCGGAGGACACAATGCTGCTTAGCCTCAGGGGCATGTGCAGGGTTTGGAACCTGCCACTTCTTGGCTGTGACCTTGGAGAAGTGATTCTCTTCTTCACAGGGTCCTGGTTCATTCCTTTGAGAAATGGGACTGATACTATAATGCCATGAGGCCATTCTCAGGACTGAATAAACCGACCTAAAACACATCCTGCCTTCGTGCCGAAGGTTGCCGCTCGCCCCATATGGGGAGTTGATGATAATGCTATTATCAGCACTGTGCAAGGCTCTGAGTGCAGAGCAAAGGCCACTCAGGGCCTGGAGGAAAATGCCCAGAGAGGCTTGGACCCTAGAATGCTGAGGGCCTGGGGTGAGGAAGGATCCACTTACCTTTGCTTTTCATGGACATGTGCCACATCCCTCAGAAGAAACAAGGATGTTGTGCTTTCCTCTTTGGCAAAACCCTGACCCCCTGGTGACTGAACGAAGATGTCAGAATGGCCTACTTTCTCCCTCTGCAATGAAACCGGTGAGAAGAATGAGTGCTGACCCCTCTAGGGGCGGGAACTGAGAGACCGCGGGCCAGCCCCCGCAGCATCCCCCAGCCACCAGCACCTCCTCCTCTATGAGACGGCATCTGCCCTGTGCAAATTTCTGCAGAGCGAGTAGCCTCCATAAGCAAAGGCAGAAGAACTGCCTCCTTATTTGCCAGAAGGCGCGCGGTGACAAAGAGCAGAGTGGAGCAGGCTGTCAAGTGGGTAAAACAAAATGATGACGAGCCACAACGGACAGGAGCTCGCACTGTGCGCGAGACCCTGTGTGTGAGAGCTTTGCCGGCAAGACCTTATTTCAGCCTCACGGTTACAGTACAAGGTAGAACTTCTCATCACCCTCATTTGACAGATGTGGAAACATTAACAACTCTTGCAGAAGCACTAAGTGGCAGAGGCAGGACACAGACCCGGTCTCAGCCGGCTCAGTGTCCACAGGCAGGGATAATGCTGGATTGGCTTCCGGGTCCTGCCCCTTTCACCCTTGCCTAGGACTTCAGGTGTTTTGGGAGGAAACCGAGGAAGGTGACAGGTCCCTTCCTGAGTTGGGTCCCAGGAGCAGTGCCAGGAGCAGGGCTGTGGTCACATACATGGATTTGGGGATGGGGTGGTGAGGGTAAGTATGTAGAGGCCAGGGAAGGCCAATGAGCTGGGAGAATCCGCAGGAGGCCTGTGCAGTGAGTCATGGGTGCCTCTAAATCTTTGGTTACTGACCCGGCTCTGTGACCTTTCTCTGAAAAGTCCTATTTGTGAAATGAGGGTGGTGGGAAAATAGAGGAGAGACTGGATGGCCATGGGGGCACCTCCAGCTCCGAGTTTTTGCTGTGCCGTAGAGGACTTCTCCAGACCCACACAACTCCCCAAGCAGATGTCAAAGGCACTCTGTTCTCAGGAATCTTTGCAAATAACACTCGATTTTGCCAAGATAGAAACAGCCACAAGAATACACTTTACTTTGCCAAGAAAAAAAATAGCTACAAGAATAATTCATGCATGTGATGTTCCTGTCTTCTATGCCCTATGTTAACGATGAATTCTCAGAAGGACACGATGAGAGATTACAATGGCAATGCCAAAATGACAAGCCTCTTTTTTCCAAGAAAAACTATGCCTACCTCTTCCTATAAAGGATCTCCCTAAAACTGTCTTGGCTCCATACCAGACTCATAGGCACTTGCCATTGGAAGGACATTTGAAGGTCAACTGATGTGACTCTCCATTGGGTGTCTCAGTTTCCTCCACCACATGTCTGATGGTATCTAGGGAGTGTCTAAATACCTTAAGAACCATTCAGCACTGCCTACTTGGACACCTCTGACCTTTCCCAAGTTCCTTCTCATACCTTCTATGACTTGGATGCCTCCTCTACACCTTGTGGCCACACAGGCCCTGCCCAAGCCTCTTCCACCCCAGCCCTTCAAAAATGCCACCCCCGGCGCTCCCTTTCTGCAAGAGCTGTCAATCACTTTGCACTTACAAAAACAATCTGACCACTGAGGCACTGTTGTTTTTGTTGTTGTCCTTGTTTTTTTTTTTTAAGACAGATTTATTTGATTCACAATTATTCCAAAATGATTACTACTCCAAATAACCCGAACTGCGCTTTTTCTCAACCTATATTATCAGCAACACTGAACGCTGATTATAATCAACTTGCTTTCATAAAAAGAAGGAAAAAATAAAAAAGATAGACTTTAGAAGAATCCACATGGCTAGAAGGACGACCAGAAAGCATTCCAGGCTCCCAAATAAACAAGGAAGTACTGTGAATATATACTTCTCCACCACGGCCCACTCCCCACGAGAATTTGAATGACAAGCTTTCAAATCACAGACCCATAAAAATGATCCAGCTACAACCTCACATTTGACAATGTGGAAACTGGGGCGCAGAGATCCCATCTCTTTCTCTTTGGCATCCCCAAATACTCATTAATCCTGAATACTGGGTTAGGCACTGAGGATACCAAGGTACTGAGGCCTTGTCCTCCCAAGTCTCTGAGCAGGGACTCACACACAACAATACAATTAAAGGATTTAAAATAATTGGAAGCAGGGGCAGCTGGGTGGCTCAGTTGGCTGAGCCTCTGACTCCTGATTTTGGCTCAGGTCATGATATCAGGATCATGAAATCGAGCCCTGCATCAGCTTCCCCACACCAAGCATGGAGCCTACGTAATATTCTCTCTCTCCCTCTGCCCCTCCCCCTGCTTGTGCTTGCTCACTCTCTTAAAATAAAATAAAATAGGTGGGAGCATATTGTTGGGGCACCCAACGATAGGCATTTGGAACCTTGGACAAGGAACTTGAAAGACAAAAGGCTATTTCCTTCTTCTGTGCCTTGGCTCAAATTGCCCCTCCAAATGCAACAGCTGCCCTCTCTTTATTGGGCAGACTCCATCCTGTAAGAGTCAGCTCAAGTCTCTCTAGCCCCTGCCACAACGCTTACTTCCCAACTCCCCTTCAGCTGCCCTCCTCCTTCACGCTCCCACGGTATCTCCTCTAAATCACACTCGTTGTACTCGGCATCATGCACTGCATCCGGCCTTCCTGGGCTGATCTTCTCTGTTAGACTTTAGGATGCAGGGGATTGAGACCTGAGTGTGGTTCAGCTTTGTATGTCGAGGCTCATTCAGCTGTTGCACACTGGGTTCGATGACTGAACAAATAAACATTTCAGCCATCTTAAGGGTTAACAGGCGTTTGTCACACACAGCAGGAGAAAAAAGAATGCCAGGCCGAGGAAGGCTCAGGCAGAGGCCCAGGGCTCTGAAAGGGTGTGGCTCTCATGCTAGGAGTGGTCAGGATGGCAGAGCAGGGCATGGGAAGAGTGGCTGAGCTTGGGGCTTGGCATTAAGTCAGGGTTGGATGTGAAAAGCCACATAAACCATCCTGAAGTGTACAGACATTATCCTAAAGTTAGGGTGGGGGCAAAAAGTCTTTACAAAGAAAGTGACATGATCCAATTTGTTTTTAAGGTCACACCACTGGCCAAAGAAGGGAGCACTGCATTGAGGACTGACAAAAGGCAGGAACCTACTGTGTGCTGCAGGACACAGGGAAGGTCAGGAACGAGGCACCGTGTCCCAAGAGCTCGGGCTGAGCCCCAAGGATGGAAGTAAAGTGTGGACCCAGGTTTGAGAGCTTAAGGATTTAATGAGTTACCTGAGACACAGGAGAGGGGGAGAAGTCAACCACAATGCCAGAGTCTGCAACTTGGAACACCAGCATGATACATGGACCAGCATGATGCAAGCATACACAGAGACAAGGACCACGAGAAGAACAGTGTTGGAGGAAAGATTCTGAGGTCATTTTTTAAAATAATTTTTTAAAAAGATTTTATTTATTTATTTGACAGACGGAGATCACGAGTAAGCAGAGAAGCAGGCAGAGAGAGAGGAGGAAGCAGGCAGAGAAGAGGAAGCAGGCTCCCCGCTGAGCAGAGAGCCCGATACCGGGCTTGATTCCAGGACCCTGGGATCATGACCTGAGCCAAAGGCAGAGGCTTTAACCCACTGAGCCACCCAGGCGCCCCCAATGAGGTCATTTTTGGAAAGATTCTTAAAACAATCCTTCCTGATGGTTTCCATAGGTCATAGCTACCTTGTTCACAAGAAGAGATAGATGATGGGTAAGAAATCAGTCATGAAAAATCTAAAGAGTATAAGACGAATGAATACTTTAACCCTCACAGAGATGGATGGAGCAATACCGATTACTTGAGGGTGAAGGAAACAATTTCAGACAAGAAATCTTCTCTGGTTCTTAAAATTACTCATCATTTCACAACCCATTAAATAGGCCAGTGTCTACAAGATATTCTCTAGGCAATCAGATTCCATACCTTTCTGATTTTCTGGACCCAACTGACTCATCTTCATGGCTTTTCAAAATTATTATTACCAGCTGACTAATGGCCTCACACCATTTAGTGAGTCCTAGTCACCAGGGAAAATTCAGTTTACTTTAATTAAGTAGCCCCCTTCAGCCATTTTACTGACTAATGATCTCATTTTTTTTAACTAATTTTTTCAAAATGCTAGAAGGTCTAGCTATCGCTGGGGAAAAAATGCACAGATACACAAATCCCTTCTGGAGCAAAGCAAATCCATCTTTTAATCTAGCAACATTCCTCCTGCCCTTATTTCATAGCAAAAGCTCTGAAGAGCAAACCACGCTCAGAACCTCTAGAGAAACAACTGCTCCCCTTCCAGAAACCACAAGAGGATTCTTCTTGGCCTGTGTGGTTATGATAAGTGCACAGAGACAGCGCTTGGTGGAGAAGAAACTGAAGCTGTCAGCTTACCCTCTTCCTCAAGTTGTAGGTGAGAATGAGGTTCCTGGAGAAGGAGTGGGAAAAGGCCGTGTAGAATTCCAGCACTTTCTGCAAGGCGTCCCGTTTGATCACATGCAGGTCGCAGTAGGTCAGGGCCCTAACGTTGGCACAGGACTGGGCCAGGGTGGCTTCCTTCCAGAACACATCTCCAAACACGTCTCCTTTCCCTAGGGAGAGAAAGTTCTGGTGAAGAAAGTGTCAACCAGATGGCGTCTGGCCATCCCCGTTCGCGTCCCCATCTCCCATTTTACATTCTGCAACATGGGTTCAGGAAAGGAAAAAAACAAAAAACAAAAACAGTTTTATTTTGAACCTTAAAAACATGCAATTTAAGAAACTTTAAAATACTATATAATACATGTCAAAGTTTAGCCAATGACACTGGGGTCATGTTACCTCCTGGACATCCTATCCAAAGTGGGAACCCCCTGTTATTCTTTATCACTCCCCCATTTTCCCAAACCACCAATCATAATCTATAATCACGTGATTTGTCTGTGTCTTTGTTGATTGTGGAACTCCCAACGTGAGAGTTCCCTCCACATCACACGATGTTTGGCACTGAATAGGAGTTCTGCCAGTAAGTGCAAGCAAAAGAGAAGGAAGGAAGGAGGGCAGACTGTGGATCTCCATTCATGGGACAGACTGAGAGGTGAACAGTATGGAGAAGGTGTGGACTTTCCTTCGGGACCTGAACATCAGGACAGTTCTCCTCTGTTTAGGATGATTCACATGGAAAAAGGCACATAGGGGTAGAGTTCATTTTCTTCCGTACTCTGTCCACAGCCCTCGGGTTTATGCTTGTATGGTATCTCATTCCTCACCCTCCCCCACTACCTGCTTCCATGTTCCTCACTGCTGCCAAAGGCCTTCCTGGGAGGGTAAAACTATGGGCCCCCTCCACATGGCATCTCCAAGCCACTCCATACCTGGCATTCCTCAAGAGTGTATTTAAAAAGCCAACAGAGTACTAATTCCATGTAACCATATTCCGGGTCCCACTTCCATCAGTCTCCTCTAAATATCGCTTTTCACATCGAGGGATAGTCTCCCTACATTTCCCCGAGTCCAACATTTTAACATATGTCTAATACAAAGCCTAATTCATTCCTGGCACAGCCTCTGATTATAAATAGCTTGAAATGTTGTTTATCGTGCCTCTAAATTTTCAGCATAGATAAACACAAATTTGAATCCACAGGGAGCCAGAGAGGAGTATGCAGGGGGCAACAAACAATGCTATGAGGGTGGAAAGGAACCCTCGTCACCCTCAGGAGAGCAGTTGGCCCATGCACCCAGACACGCCACACTCCCCAGCAGGGAGCCAGGTCCCCTTGACTCAGTATGATTAACAGGGCGGGCGTTTTCGTCATTTGGGCCAAGGAAGAGATTAGACTTCCAAGCACCTGGACGGAAGTTGATCTTTTCTCAAACACCAAAGACTCCATTCTAAGGATACAAGGTACTCCACGCGCATAGCCTTCTCCAAGCACCTCCAAGTGTGAGCAAGAAATGGACTGTACCAGACACATTCCTCCAGAGTTTCCTCTGTGTTTGTGAGGTGATGTACAGTTCTGATTTATGAAGACAGTTTTACTACTCAGTATCATGCATGGGGGAGCTTTTAGGGAACAATGTCTTTAAACCTGCACTAATTAAATTCACCTCCCAGGTGTTTTTCAATCATCTGCACTCTGAGTTGGTTACTTGAGGGCTGGGGCCACTGGCTGGGAATGCTTCTCTCTGTGGGGTGCTACCAACTTCCATGGGGAGGGGTTCATTCAGTGTGGGCTCCCTGGTACTGAGTTCTAACTAAGAAGGCTGGTCATTTGTTCATACATAGGAAGCATTCCGTAACTTCCTACACTTCACTCCAACGCCTCCCATGCCTTTCATTTTTACGTGATAATGTGGTAGATGGTGAAGAGGCATCAAGAAGCAAAGCCTAATCTCCATCCCCCTTGAATCCGGACTCTGCCTTAGTCCCTTCTCTAGCGTGTGGCAGGGATTTTGAGACCAGATCATAAAATACCTTGCAGCTTCTGCCTGGGTCTCTTGGAACACTTACTGTAGGATGCTCCCTCTTAGAATCCAGGTACCGTGCTTTGAGAAGAACAAACCACACCAGAGGTCACATATCAGTGCTCTGGGGGACAGCCCAGCTGAGTCCCCACTGACCACCAGCCTCTGCCTGTCATGTAAATGCGCCGTCTGGTCAGCCAGCCAGCCCCGGCTAGCCTTCACGTGCCCGAAGCCCTGGCCAACACTGGCGTGCAGCCACATGCAGAAAGCCCAAGTCAGAACCAACCAACTGAGCTAAAGACCCCATGGAATGGTGAGACACAGGCATCAATTTCTTACACCATTAAATTTAAGGGAGGTTTATTATGCAGAAATAGATCATCAGAACACACAGGCTCATGGAACTCTGGACTGAGACACCCATGAGAAATTACTTAGTAGGTTAGCTAATATCTCACCAGAACGTTGCAAAGGATCCCAGCCCTGTGCTGGGCACTCCACTTCCTGCTCTGACAGAATGGGACAGAAAAGAGTGACGAGGGGCTATAACAGGAGCAGATTCTCCTGAGAGTTTTGAGTATCAGTCAGTGAGAACATAAGGCATTGACAAATCTTACAGCCTCCTATTGGGATGAAACGTAGTATGACAAAGCCAGAGCTACTGAACGTAGATTACCATGAGTAATCTTGCCTGATTCTCATTAAGATCATAGCTGACTCTTGAACAGGTTTGAGCTGCGTGGGTCCACTTACATGTAGATTTTTTGTAAATGAGTTTTCTCTTCCTTATGATTTTTTTAAACACTTTATTATTATTTTTTTTATTTGAGAGAGACAGAGTGAGAGAGAGAGAGAGCACAAGTGGGGTGAGGGGCAGAGGGAGAAGCAGACTCCCCGCTGAGCAGGGAGCCCAAGGCCATGCTCAATCCCAGGACTCTGGGATCATGACCTGAGCTGAAAGCAGATGCTTAACTGACTGAGCCACCCAGATGCCCCTCTTAACGATTTTTTTAATAACATCTTCTTTTCTCTAGCTAACTTCGTTGTAAGAATATAGTCTATAATACATATAACATACAAAACACATGTTATTTTACTGTTGATGTTATCAGTAAGGCTTCTTATAAACAATAGGCTATTAGTAGTTAAGTTTTTGGGGTTCAAAAGTTATATGTAGATATGCACGGGGGTCAGCATCCCTAACCCCACATTCTTCAAGGGTCAATTGTCCTGCATTTAAACAAGACCTAATGAATGAGCATTACACTTCTCAAACAAACTTGGAGTAGTTTTTCCAATTAGAAAAGAACCCAGAAAGTAAAATAATAATTCCTCATGTATGTTTAACATATGATTTACCTGTAGAAATTCAAACTATTGCATAAAATAAAGGACAACCATATTATGTTTGAAACACATCATGAAATTAATAAAAGCATCTTTAGAAATGACAACAAGCCCGCTGGAGAAAGTTTTCCAATCTAAGATTTTAACAGAAACAATAAATAGAGATTAGTTACTACTATATGAAGTATTTCACGGTAAAATAATCATGATTAATCTATAGGGTCCAGGAAATCAAAGTGTTGTTATAACTTGGATTTGATTTTCAACCCAAATGGAATACCATATGATCTTTCTTCCTGTCAAGGCAGCATTTTTGGTATACATGATCTGTTAGTGAGATTTAAGAGTGTGGTGTCAGGGGGCCTGTTAGATTTAAAACAAACCTAAGCCTCTTCTAGCAAATGAGAAATATATTTATGACATGGAACTTGGGGAAACTGTCAAAGGGGAGGATACAGAGCTTTGGGAAGGCTGCTTGTAAGTTACGCACAGCTCTGGGAATAATGACTTCCCAGGTCAGGGTTATGAATCAGAGGCCAGGACAAGCCCTACACCCACATTCATCCCTTGTTCCCTAGCATGAAATGATCACTCACTGAAGAACAAAAGTTACCCCAATGCACTTGGCAATCAACCTACTGGAGGCAATCAGCTTATTGATTTATTTATTACACTGAGGCGCTGGGTACAGAATGTTAAAACCTAATGTTCCAAGTTTCTAAAATATATTCTAAGTGGATGTTCTGAGCTGGGGAAAAGAAAAAAGAATGAAAAGGGGAAGTAAGGAAAGGCAATCTAATTAAAACTTCAAGCAAACATCCCTGTGATAATTAATCCTCCTCCCCCTTCCGCCCCCACGTCAATGCAGCTGTCTTTCCCACACCTCCACCATTGCAGTGGACATAAACAACCCCATGGGGTACAGCCGTGGGACTGAAGAACATTCATAAGACATAGGTGGGAGGTGGGACACAGAGCTGAGGTGGCGCAGGGAGAGGGAGGGCAGATCTCTGCAAGGAGCACAGGAGAAAAAGACCCTATAGATAATTCAATTTAAGGATGGGCAGAGGCAGGAATGCCCACATGTGGGGGCTTAATGGGTCAAGGAAGGTGGGAGTAGGGGGCTGGGAGGGTTGATCAGGGTGAATTTTAGAGGTGCTGGAACTGGGACCCCAGGAGGATCAAACAACCTACCCAAATGCTAAAAAGTCACAGGGAAGCAATTCTGCTCTGAAACTGACAATTGGAACCCTTCAGAAAAGGCCCTGTCTATTCAAAGACAGGCTCTGAGTGAGTTTGGCAGGCCAGAGGGGTAAGAACAGAACTGCAATATCCAGCTGCTTCTCTTCACTATTCCCTATTGTGTGCTTGTACAAGGAGCCCTCACAGTGGTAACCTATATTGCCAAAACATAATTCTGCAGTATAAGTTACTATCTGCTTCTAAAGTCACCAATAATTTCTAGAACCAAAGAGAAACAACTCATTTAGTCAGTCGTGCAACTTTTGGCAGGCACTGTCCTAGGAGCTAAGGTATAGCAGGGGAAGGACAGACATGATATAGTGAGAGACAGAGACCTAGCAAACTATAACATTTCAGGGGTGAGTGCCTCATTCTAACATGATAGGACACCAGGCAGGAGGGGTATCTGGCTCAAGTCAAGGGGTGAGGGAAGGCTTTCAGGGAGATAATATGTCTGAGCTGAGACCCGAGGAATGAGTTCCAATTAACCAGCAAAAAAATATACAGCACAGAGATGAGTCCAGGGAGAGGAAACAGCAGCTGCAAAGGCCCTGAG